TGCTGAGAAACGAGAGAGCTGAAACTATATCGTCAAGATGCAATTTGCGCTAGATTGAAAATCAAATCATTGAGCGTAAGTAATTGGTCTAACGCATTTCCACCACCGTCTCCGTCTTACTCAGATCTGATTCGGCCGCCGGTTTTCGCGATGTCGTCTTCTTCCGTCGCCGCCGTTGTCGTATTCATTGTTCTCGTTTCGATTATCGCACCTGCTTTCGCATCTGAGTCAGATCACAAGGTTAGAATCGGATCTCCAGTGTCTGCATTTCGTTCTCTTTTTATGTATGCAGCTCGAATCGAGTTACTGTGTGAGTCCGTAGATAGATCTCGTGATTTTGCATGGTGTTCGTGTTGACCTTTTTTGTCTTGGATCTGCTCGTTTTTTGGATGGGTCCCTTGAGCTTCCATCTAATTGCTTATTCGTTGCAAGGCTACGAGTGTTTTTGTGTCATCGTGAGTTGGGCTTCTCGCAATCGCGGCTTTTTCAATAGGTTTTTGCTATGGGATTGAGATTCTCGTTTGTATTGAACTTATTCCCTGTTGTTTATCAGTTTTAGCTCAAAATTGTTCTTGCCGTTTGTGATATTAGAGATCCAGTGCGTCAATGCTTTTGCTTCCTTCTGCCTTCTTTTGCTTCTTACACTCGCAAGAAGTGTTAAAGTTAACCTTGTTTACACATCTGTTAGCCTTACAAGAGAAACTCATTTTATATTTCTCTTAATTTCTGGCATGTCAATGGTTTTGCTTTCACCGTTTGCAGTATCAAGCAGATGAGCAGGTTACACTGTGGGTGAACAAAGTTGGCCCATATAACAATCCACAAGAAACATACAACTATTACAGTCTTCCATTTTGCCGCCCATCTGGAAACAATGTTCACAAATGGGGTGGTCTTGGAGAAGTTCTTGGTGGAAATGAGCTGATTGACAGCGAGATTCCGATAAAGTTCTTGAGTATGTTTCAATTCTTATGCTAGCTAATAGTATTTCTTACCAGTTATCTTACTTATGCTCTAATTACAATACTTATTCTGTTTTCCTCCACAGAGAATGTTGACAGAAATGTTATTTGTAAGCTTGAACTCAATGAAGCTAAGGTTAAGCATTTTAAAGATGCAATTGAATCTAGCTACTGGTTTGAATTCTTTATGGGTATGTTTCACATTTCCTTGTAGCCGCTGAAATAGCATGAACAGAAAAAGTTCATTATATTCAGAGAAAAAGATATTGCAGTTTTCTAATATGTAGAGTTCGGAAAGATTTTGTATTTGCTGAGTTTGCTTAATTTTTGTTCATTATGCAAATCTAAAATATCCTTATATTTATCTTCACTGCATTGCCAATATCATTTACAACATTGGAAATCGTAGGATATATTCTTTTTGAAAACAAAGTTGTAGGATATATAACCTTACATATAGTTACTATTTCTTACATTAATGGAGCTGGAAAGGTAACTTCTTTGGATCGCTAACCTATATTTTCTTTTTGTGGCATCTGATCTGTGTGTTCTTTCATGGGGTGATTCTAATTTCAGATGATCTGCCTTTGTGGGGTAAGAGCTTTATATTTACTTGAAACATCCAAAATTTATCATTTTCCTTTTTAGTTTTAGATAGTTGTAATAGTGTCTCATTGATACTGTAGGCTTTGTGGGTGAGCTGCATCCTGACAAAAATAGTGAAAACGGCAAGCATATCCTCTACACGCATAAGAACATTGTTGTCAAATACAACAAAGACCAGGTTAGTTGTTGCTACACCATCAGGCAATATTATGGATATCATCTGACCTACATGCTGTGTTCTTACTTATTTGTTTCCATAGATCATTCATGTTAATCTCACTCAAGACAACGCAAGGCCACTGGAAGCAGGGAGGACAGTGGACCTGACGTATTCTGTGCAGTGGATTCCAACAAATGTCACATTTGCTCGCCGCTTTGACGTATATCTGGATTATCCATTCTTTGAGCACCAGGTAACTTTTAGCTTGCTATGTATTTGTCTTAAACCCTTCTGCCAGTGTCTTTGATTCTGATTGGTTCTTGATGTATCACACTGAATGTCCCATTTTCTGCTTGGTTAGCAAATTTCTAGATTCGTCTCTTTAAGATTTCTGGTCAAGCTTTATAAGCGTTCTATTTTTTTGGTTTTCCGTTTTGCAGATCCATTGGTTCTCCATCTTTAACTCGTTCATGATGGTTATTTTCCTCACTGGTTTGGTGTCAATGATATTGATGAGGACTCTCAGAAATGATTACGCGAAGTATGCTCGAGAAGATGACGATCTCGAGAGCTTGGTGATGTCTCCTCAACTTTATTTGTCATAGCTGCATCATTCTTTTATTTTTATTTTGCTGATACTACTCTCTTGGCAGTTTGTCCAACACTTCTTTCTTTATTTTTAAGTATAAGAGCCATTTCTGACATTACTATTGATGAGCACAGGAACGGGATGTAAGTGAAGAATCTGGTTGGAAACTTGTGCACGGGGATGTGTTCAGGCCACCATGTAGTCTAGTTCTTCTCTCAGCTGTTGTTGGCACAGGTGCACAGTTGGCGTTGCTTGTTCTTCTTGTCATATTAATGGCCATCGTGGGGACTCTCTACATTGGGTATGTATTACACTCTTCTTTTTACTTGCAACCAACTTTCTGTGTTGTTGTTACCCCTCTTTTCTTTGTGGTATTTTTGTTTTGCTTGTATATTTAGAAGCAGACTTGTTGGCTGGATTCTGCTCATCTCGTATTCTTATTATTTCAGGAGAGGAGCAATCGTCACAACTTTCATAGTTTGCTACGCTCTGACTTCATTTGTTTCTGGTTATGTGAGTGGTGGAATGTACTCAAGAAGTGGGGGTATGACTTACTTTTCTTGGTGTATCTCTCTGGTGTTGCTTTCCTCTTTGATTAGTCAAGTTATTTAAATGCTGGTTTGTCCAGGTAAACATTGGATCAAGTGCATGGTCCTCACGGCTTCTCTCTTCCCCTTTTTGTGCTTTGGAATTGGGTTTCTCCTGAACACAATTGCCATATTTTATGGATCTCTTGCGGCAATTCCTTTTGGGACAATGGTGGTTGTGTTTGTAATTTGGGGTTTCATTTCCTTCCCTTTAGCCCTCCTCGGGACAGTCGTTGGAAGAAACTGGAGTGGTGCTCCAAACAATCCATGCCGTGTGAAGACCATTCCACGTCCAATCCCTGAGAAAAAATGGTACTTGACACCATCGGTTGTCTCCCTGATGGGAGGTTTGTTACCCTTTGGAAGCATCTTTATTGAGATGTACTTTGTCTTCACATCCTTCTGGAATTACAAGGTAAAAGTAGTTGCTTTGATGCAATTGAACTTGTTCAAATAGATCCCCTCTGTGTCTTTGCACTTATAAAGACTGAAGTAAATTCGTATTGGTTATTTCTGAAAGTTCTTCTTCTTTTGGGTTTGACAGGTCTACTATGTGTATGGATTCATGCTGCTGGTTTTTGTGATTCTGGTCATAGTGACGGTATGTGTGACAATTGTGGGAACTTATTTCCTGCTGAACGCAGAGAACTATCATTGGCAATGGACGTCCTTTTTCTCTGCTGCTTCGACGGCAGTCTATGTCTACTTATACTCCATCTATTACTACTACGTAAAGACCAAGATGTCTGGATTCTTCCAGACAAGCTTCTACTTTGGATACACCATGATGTTCTGTCTTGGCCTTGGAATCCTTTGCGGTGAGCTCACTCTCTCTTTATTCTCCACTCTCTTCAAAACTAAAAGAATGGTGTAACTGGTTTGACTAAAATGTTCTTATCGCAGGAGCGGTTGGATTCTTGGGATCAAATCTGTTTGTAAGGAGGATCTACAGAAACATCAAGTGCGACTAGAAGGAAAGGTAACAAATCATCGAAAAAGAGGAAAAAACATCCAATTTAGAAGGAAGTTTCTAATGGAGGTTATATATTATATAAACACAGTAGAGAGAGAGAGGGAGGAAGGTGGAACATATATATTCTTCAATGGGGGCATTTTGTCTCTTCATCTTCTTATGTCTTTTTCCCTTTTTGGTAAGTGAATTGTTCTCTTTAGATTAGAATTGAGTGGCTG